ATGTTTATTAACTCTCTAATTATAAAATAGATTTTTTGGCGGAAAAAGAGTCGCAAATTGATTTTGATTCAAACTTATCCTTTATTCAAGGTCTTGCGAAAAAGGATATGTTTTCTATGGCAGAATAAATTTTATGTTATTGAGGATATTAATACGTTAATTCCTATCAGTCCATGCAAAAATCAAAGATAACGTAAAATGCATCGAAAAAAATTAATCCACGAAGATCATGCATAAAATCGTCATTGGATGATACTTGTGTCTGTGAATTCTGAATCCGAAACATTGTCTGATGTAGTACCAACCAATCTCGGAAATAATATTTTCTTTTCTGCCAGCTCGTTCTAGATTTGGATACAAGCTTAATAATAATATTGAAATATTGTTGATAAAAGAAGAAAAAAAACCTTGATATAAGTTTTATATGTCACGAACGCACCAATAATCTTGATATCTTACTAGGATATCATTCTCAATAAGGCTTAAATGGCTACAAACGGCTTTAGCTTTGGTAAACAAACTTAACCGGTCTACACTTAGCTACAACGACACTAATAACACTTGTTCTAAGATGTCTAGTTTACAATCACACTTCCTATTTTTCATTTATAAAGAGATTCTAAAGTTTATCATTGTTTCGTTTTGTCTATATAGACAATACACAGCATCTGTTACAATATATAATAAATCATAAGCCTTTAGGAGTAGCAAGATGAAGCTGAGACTTCAAAAAAGAAGAGGCTTATTTATGGCATCTGAGGGATCAAGAATGGAAAAATCAAAGATAGAGATGTCGTGGGGCGGCTCGATCCAGGCACCATTAGTCCGATTCTCCGTCTGATATTCAAAATAATATCCTTCAGGGTCTTCACAAAAGCTCCTGCTATATAAGGAATACTTGTTAGGGCTGTAACGCCCGTGAACCAAAAAAGAGATTTTTTGGGCATGTGTGTCGATCCACGGGGTATAATCAGACCGACGATTTGATTTCTGATCGTTTCGATTTGGGCCGGTTTAGAAAACCCTAGGGTTTCGTTATAAAAGCGTGGGGAACG